AGTTACATTGGTCTGGCTAGTAACTTTTTTTATTTTTCTAGTAAAAGAAAACATTTGATTGTCAAAGGTCTAGAGCCCTGCTGTTATTTTTATAATATAGCAGGCAACATGCCGCCCAGATAGATACTGTCAGAAAACACAAAGTTAGGACATTTCAGTCAGGTTGGCCTGATACTCATCGGTTATGGCTGACTTATGACAGGGAAGGTGATTTAATATTTTGTACTATTTAATAACTATGTACTGAAAATGGTATGACACAAGATGCTAAATGCAGAAAGTTTTAAAATATAACTTTGACCAGACATCTCATCATAATGATAATAAACTGTCCGTTCAGGCTCCAAAACTTTGTGATGATTTCCAGGTTGCAACTGCTCCTATCTATGAAATACAAGACAAAGCAGCTGTCGCCTTGATGAAATCTGTTCATTGGTTAGCTTGTGAAAACATCCCACTGACAAAGTTTAAACGTTTTGTTGACTTTTTATATGAATTTGAAAACGAAGACACTGAAATTCTCAAGGAAGGTAAAATCAACTATGATTCTCCAACCACTGCCAGTGATCTGTTAACATCTTTGTTTGATGTGATAGGGTATGAACTACAAGTTAAAATGGAAGAGTCTCCATTTGTTACGATTTAGGTACTACCAGCTCCGTTCTGTGAAATATCCCAGACCAGTCAGACTCACTGTGCAACCTATAGTAACAATAAACCAGTTTGAATAATATTGGTGGCATTAAGTTTTGTTAGGGACTCATAAAAGTTCTGAGGGACTCTTAGTTATTCAGCTCAGTGAGTCCCGGGACTCAGGCAGTTGAATTTGTAGATTTATCACTGATTTATGTTATTCATTTGCAGGTTTTGTCAGCGAGAGCCCATTATGCCAATTCAATGCAATCCATTTTAACCCTAGTACACTGAAAAACATGAAAATATCATACTCTATTTTGGATGAGGGGCGGTGGGGTAGCCTAATGGTTAAAGCATTGGCTCGTAACGCCGACCCGGGTTCCAATCCCCACATGGGCACAATGTGTGAAGCCCATTTCTGGTGTCCCCCGCCGTGATGTTGCTGGAATATTGCTAAAAGCAGCGTAAAACCAAACTCAGTCAGTCAGTCAGTATTTTGGATGAAAATGATGAGTTGAAATGCACTCCAGTTATGATTTTGACTTGGTTAAAAAAAGATTTAGGGTAGGGGGGGTTAGGATAGGATCGGTGGGCTACCAGAAACGGACATTTTTTATTTCTATTTTGGCCTAAGAATAGAATAATACTTTAATGCCTTTTCAGGAATTTGAGACAACTAAGGGCATCGGGTGATCAGTCTCGCTGACTTGGTTGGCACAATGTGACATGATCCCAATTTTGGTCTGCTGAGAAACCTTTTGAACTGATAAATGAGATGTTGTTACCATTTTTCTACATTCATGATAAACATAATTTGAATTAATTTTGATGCAAAACTTTGTAAAATTATTGAATTATATTTATTTTATTCATTTCAAAATGGGTATTTCGTTCCGGCAGCACTACAAATTGTATGGAACCTGTACAATCAGGGAAGAGGAACTGTTACTGAAGCATGTTATGTTACTGACAAGAAGAAACCATGATTTAATATTACGCTCTGTTCCGTGGTTTACAGAGATTTCAAAGCCTTGTATTTGTACAGCAGAAGAAATACTTGTTAATAAAAGTATTCAAAGTCATCACAATGTATTTTGTTTGTTGGTTGTGAAATCAAAATCATGTTGGCAAGTTTTTATATGTTCATTAATGCTTATAGAGCTTATGTCTAATGCATAGTATTCTGAATGTCCCCGAAAAGTATTTGGCAGACTAAGGCTAACAACCTAGTTTTAAAGCCTTGAAAAAAGATTAATTTGGCTCCTAGAAGGATATTGGCATGGTCCTACATCTAAGAAATCCCAAAGAATAGTTTCACAAGTATTAACAGGTTTTTCTTAGGTAAGTGTTAAGTTCATAATTTCTTTCTCTCACACTTGTTGAGTCTTTAGGATTGAGTATGTTGCTTTTTTAACCTCTGGAGGAAGACCATCAGTAAAGAAGGCTAACATGTGAGGTTAAAACAATCTCCCACTTGTTTTGGTATTGTGAACATGTGCAAACTTTTTGGGAATGTTTTCTAGAATTATTGAATGATAAATGTCAACATGTTCACAACATGAAATTGGACCTGCAACTTATTGTGTTTGGAATGAGAACAAATGTATATACTGATGATGTGTTTGATTTAATATTGTTGCTAGCTAAATTCTTCATATTTCAAATGTAAGGTATTAAAAACTACTCTTAGTTTTAAACATTTTAGACATTATTTACAAGATAGGTATTTTATTGAAAAAAATATATCCTTCAGTAAAAGTGAACAAGATAAGTTTTATAAAAAGTGGATGTTATATCATGATTTTGCAAATGTTAAATGATTTTCTGAATTCTTTCTTCTTGTTCCCTAATGAAAAATATAGGTTGAATGGACTTGAACTTAAACTTAATGTAAATATTTGAAGCTTGTAAGTGTGATTGGTGAGTGAATGTGTTGTGGTGTCTGGTGTTGTTGTTTTGTGCTTTGTTAGAAAAAAATCCTGTTTTTCCTGTGATCAATTAACCTTCTTGCAAAGGACCTTAGAGTCCCCTAGCTCTTTGGCCCTATCTGTAACAGGGAAAGCAAGAAATAAAAAATATCAATTATCAAAACAAAAAAATCCTTTGACAAGAGCAAATTTTCGCTTGACCTTATGGTGCCTTAAATGTTGGACAGTTTGGCGAGGACAATAGGATTAGTGCCAACTCATGGTCCTATAAACATTGTTGAATATCTCCATGTTACGTTTCCATATTAATCAGTTTTGTATATGTACTTTTCAGGAGGAGGTTGGGCCACCATTGACAAGCGAAGAGGATGAAGATGGGCATAGCTTCAGATTGTCTGATTTGTGATTAAACATCTTCAAAACTAATGTGTGTGTCTTCTTTGAAGGGTTGTAATTCATGTGTTCTTTATATTTGGTGCTATGGTGATTAAACAATCTGTTTCTATTATTGGTGTTTGTTTGGCTGATGTGGCTAGTGAGTATAATGACTACGTCATTGGTTAAAAATGTATAATGGTCACTGGGCAGCTGCATGGGTCCAGTTCTCATTCCTCAACTTCTCGAACCCATGTTTACATCAGCTGTTAGTTCACCTACTACGAATTGAAAGTCATAGTTTCGGCCAAGTCCCATTGGTCTTAGACCAACCTTGCACAATTGTTCGAGAAACAATGGCCATATACTATACTATCTTATTTGATGTTGTAACTGTAGTTTTATCGTATTGAAAATCGATACAACAAAACCAATCGTTTAAACTCAGCACAAAAATAATCGTATACTGAATAATGACATCAACTGGAGGGGGCGGTGGGGTAGCCTAGTGGTTAAAGCGTTGGCTCGTCACGCCGAAGACCCGGGGTTCGAATCCCCACATGGGTACAATGTGTGAAGCCCTTTTCTGGTGTCCCCCGCCGTGATGTTGCTGGAATATTGCTAAGAGTGGCGTAAAACCAAACTCAGTCAGTCAAGCAGGATTTCGGTTTGATGAGCTCAATTCATCAACATTTTAAGTTGTTCACTCTAGCTATGTACCATCGAGGTTACATCAACCCATGGGCCCCGAGGGACCAGTGAACAATGTATTTATCTTACCGAACACCTCAATGGTAATTTTGAACTGTTTGAAAAAACAAAGAAAAACAAATTTAGAGTTATCTCCCTTCCATTGATTTGCCTTCGCAAAACATCGGTAATTTCTGTACATCATACGTGATTCAATGTTATTCAAGATAAAGAGGTACCAAATGAGTTCGGCATTCCCAGCGGGGTACATAGAAAATGTTACTCGCTTGTAAGCTAGGTACATTGAAAATAAAAGAAGAGCGCTCAGCCAATCGGAAAACGACATTTATGTGTCAAGCAAGATAATATTTCTTCTAGCTCATCCTTCCGAAAAGCTGTCATGTTGCTGACACGGCTTAAGAAATATTTATTCATACAATCTTGCCCAATAATGCAATATACCAATACTATTGCTTAGTTTCCTTCTCTCTTTCCCTCTATCTCCTTTTCTTTTCCCTTTCCTTCCTCTCTTCTTTTCTCTCTCTTCTTCTTCTTCTTCTCCCCCCCCCAAAGTAGTACAATTAAAACTAGAAATTTCTCAAGAAACAATAAGAATAACTATAGCGTATTCAGCGATTGGGATAGAGAACTTTGACAATGGGTCATTTTCAGGATTATTAGCCATTTTCTGAATTTAGCCACTGTCTTTGTATCAATAGTAAACTCCATTTTTTATTCTAATGTGCAAAATGGCCCATGGCCCCTGCCTTTCCCAATCCCTGCGTATTTTCGATTCTTAGAAGTATGGTTTGGTTACTCTAGTCTTTGTCAGCTGCTGAACCTTCCCCCATACGACAGAATTCCTGATTTAGATGAAGCTCGTGATCTGAGTGCAGTTCTGTGAAACAACATCCTACCTGTCGTTCAAGGTTCCGTTTCACAAAGCGATCGTAAAATTACGACTGTCGTAACTCCTATCGTTAAATATAGACTTACTGCCGTGGTAGAGTTATGATCGCTTTGTGAAAGGGGTCCATCACTCTTGTGAAAAACAGGACCCATCACTTTGGCAAAGTAGTGAATGTTTTTATAGGACTATGTTTGTGTGTGATCACTATTCTAACGCAAAATATGGCCAGCATACCTGGCATTGATCAAACCTGAAGCCCATTTCTGGTGTCCCCCGCCGTGATATTGCTAAAAGCGGCGTAAAACCATACCCACTCTCTCAAACCTGATCAAAATGTGATCATTGTGACAATAGACCCTAAAACAGTGCCAAGTCATATGTAGTCAACAGAGACATTACATTGTGTTCTGAAGATATGATAAAAGTTTATCAGAATATTTGATGCATCTTTTTATTTCCAGACGAGGACGATTTACTGGAAGAGGAAGACGAAGACCCTCTAGCTGATGGTAAGTAGTATACACGTAAGCTTAATTTAATATTTTGGTCGTTTTTATAGTTGGAGGTAGAATAATGGGATCGGGTGGTCAGGTTGATACATGTTTTCGTATCCCAATTGCTTGAATCCATGATGCCAAATAGCTGGAGTGCAGCGTTAACTCTTTCAACACCAGTCAACCAGAGGCATTTACTGCCATGACACCGAGTTCCCAGAGACTCTGAGGTCATAGATGAAGCCTATGTTTATGAAGGAAATTATAAGCTTGTAAAACGTTATGGCCTACCTTTAGAATACAGCACCACAAACTTTAAAAATACGTCATAATACCATTTTACGTAATGTAATGTGATTTTGTTCGAAAGCACGTTCTCGAAACAATGCCCTATGACGCCTGCATGGCAACACGGTTGTCTGGCTCAGCGAGTGCGTATAAGCTCCGCTCACTGGTGTTTCATCTCTACGAGCTATGCCATTGCATAAGCCCAACGATGTTGAGAGTTTCCAGTAGTTGTATACCGGCGGATGCGCAATATTTTGCAAGCACCAGTTTGAACTATTTTTCTTTTTTCACTAATACGCTCATATTTATTTGTATTACGGGCTGCTGAGGTGTTATGTTTTGTGTATTTTGTATTTTGTAATTTTTTTTAATTTACATATATATTTTTGTCATTCAGTAATTTGAACCATTACATAGAAAAGTGTTTTATTAGTATTTTATTTTTCGAAGCGGTAATAATGCATTACACTAGACAAAAATTTAGTCGTGTTTGTGCCGGATCGGTCAATCTTGGGTCAATGCATTCTGTTTATTAGGATTACTAGTAATTCAAGGGATTGGGGTTAGGGTTAGGGTTTAGGGTTGGGGTTGGGGACCTAATGCAATATAGTAGGTACATCTCCGGTGGTTCGGTCAATGCATTCTATTTATTAGGATTATTTCAAGGGGTTAGGGTTAGGGCTGAGGGTTTAGGGGTTAGGGACCTAATCCAATATAGCAGGTACATGTCCGGTGTGAGTACCATTTGTTGTTTTTCCTTTTTATTTTAATACTTTCTTTTCACACAAAAACGGGAAACCAAACACGTCGAAAGTACATTATGAAATGGTTTAATGTAGAAATTTTGGGCTAATATGGAAATTGGTCTGGAATTTGCACTCAAGCCTCTTTCACACGCAACATATATTTTGTAAAGTAATGATTCGAAGGCTAACTCACCCGAGTGCCGTCACTACACATGCTCATGTCTCCCTCGTTCCTTAGTGCGATCCACATTATCCTTACAGTTTTCCCTACATCACTTTTCTGTCACAAAATCACCGATTTATATAAAAGCGCGTCATTCATGCATGCACCGTGAAATCTACGTCTGACGTCAACAACCCTTTTCAGTTTGAGGCATATCGGCTCATTCCACGCCACACGTTAATTTGTAGATTACGGAATGGGACGAGTGTGCCAAATGGCATCGGATCCATTCGGCAATTGTCCGGAGAATAAAATCACGAGACACCCAGTCTACCCGTAGCATTCGTAATTGTCCGTCACCTATTCGACTCTTTCCGTTCATTTCCGTGACGTCACAGGAATGACTCGATTAATTTGCACATCGTGCAACAGTGTGGACGTAGCTCAGTCGGTTAGCTGTCGAGCTAACAATCCGAAGGTCGCGGGTTCGCGTCCGACGGGTTCTCACAAACTGGTTGCTTGTCTTAATGACACGTGACCTACGGCAGAGATCGTCCTCACGAGAAGTTGTAGTGCTGTATTCTAAAGTTGCTCCCCTTTTTCTTTTATATTTTCATTTTTACGTAATCAGAAAATTATTATAAAAAGATTTCTTAAACAATATGTATGGTCGCCTATTTCCCGACATCTGTGGCTTTCCGCTCGGTAAAATGACATAACAACTGAAAATACCTCCGTTTTCGAAGCTTCGTATGAATAACATGCGCGGCAAATCGTTTGATGTCGGGCATCGTTCGAAAGCTCTGAACATCAACAATATCACAGTCTGTACCCTTGCCAAGAGTATTTTCACAGTTGTAAGAAGCGATTTTATTGGATAAAGATTGGTTTCTAATGACGCTTTTTCGCCACAGTCTGCTATAAGGGTCGTGATTGGTCAAAATCAGACATGTGACCTAAGGTAGCCAATCATATTACGGCAATGGATACCGTCCTCGTAAACGAACTTTTTTAGATTTGGACACAAGTTTTGGGTGAAATAATGCTATTCTGAACATATTAAGCAAGAAATCGCTACCTATACGTAAATTATGGAACTTATTGGACGTATCGTGCTAGGTTATGACCTGTGACAAAAATGCTTCATGTATGTATTTTCGCATTAAACATCGTGTCCGAGCGTGAAGATTGAGGCAGCGAGAGCCGAGATGTCACTTGTCAGTGACTTGACTTGCATTACATGATCGCACAAAAAAGATGGAAATAGTAATTTTATATGTACGTTTGACAACTTTTATGAATGCTGTTGTTGATTTTATTCATTAGTTTATTCAATTTATTTAATAATTTCCTCGAAACATCGTTACTTTGCTCTTTGACAATGTTATTGTGGGTCCGCTGCCGAAGCATGTGTCCGAGAATCGTTGTTTTGAATAACATTGCGAAAAATAGTTTATAATTTTAATTCTGCTGGTAATATATGATAAATTGAAATTTAATAAGTGTTTTCAGACATTGTGAAATGTGATAGATTTGATATATGAATAAAAGTCAGGTAGGTTCCTAAAATTATGTCTCATTTTGACGTGACTACTGCCTGGCCGATTAATCGGCCTCCGGTGTCTGGGGACTCATAACGTTGTGGCCGATTATTCGGCCTGCGGTGTTGAATGGGTTAAACATCGTGTCCGAGCGTGAAGATTGAGGCGGCGAGAGCCGAGATGTCACTTGTCAGTGACTTGACTTGCATTACATGATCCCTCAAAAAGATGGAAATAGTAATTTTATATGTACGTTTGACAACTTTTATGAATGTTGTTGTTGATTTTATTCATTAGTTTATTCAATGTATTTAATGAATTCCTCGAAACATCGTTACTTTGCTCTTTGACAATGTTATAGTGGACCCGCTGCCGAAGCATGTGTCCGAGAATCGTTGTTTTGAATAACATTGCGAAAAATAGTTTATAATTTTAATTCTGCTGGTAATATATGATAAATTGAAATTTAATAAGTGTTTTCAGACATTGTGAAATGTGATAGATTTAATATATGAATCATAAGTCAGGTAGGTTCCTAAAATTATGTCTCATTTTGACGTGACTACTGACTGGCCGATTAAGCGGCCTCTGGTGTCTGGGGACTCATAACGTTGTGGCCGCTTAAGCGGCCTGCGGTGTTGAAAGGGTTAAACGAAAACTCTTTCTCAAACACCCCAAAGTTCTAATAGTGTTTCCGGGGCTTATCATTGGAGAGGCAGCGTAATTTTTATCATTTCTTTTTACTTTTAGTTAGATTATTCCTCCCCAGTATTGCCAATTTTTAATAAATCATTATTTTTTCTCTCCTATGTATTTTTATGTTACCCTGTTTCCATGGAGACAAATTCCACAATTTTCATTCCGACTTGGTGACGTTTATTAACCCATTCAACACCGCAGGCCGCTTAAGCGGCCACAACGTTATGAGTCCCCAGACACCAGAGGCCGCTTAATCGGCCAGGCAGTAGTCACGTCAAAATGAGACATAATTTTAGGAACCTACCTGACTTATGATTCATATATTAAATCTATCACATTTCACAATGTCTGAAAACACTTATTAAATTTCAATTTATCATATATAATATCATAAGCAGAATTAAAATTATAAACTATTTTTCGCAGTGTTATTGAAAACAACAATTCTCGGACACATGCTTCGGCAGCGGGTCCACAATAACATTGTCAAAGAGCAAAGTAACGATGTTTCGAGGAATTCATTAAATAAATTGAATAAACTAATGAATAAAATCAACAACATTCATAAAAGTTGTCAAACGTACATATAAAATTACTATTTCCATCTTTTTGTGCGATCATGTAATGTAAGTCAAGTCACTGACAAGTGACATCTCGGCTCTCGCCGCCTCAAGCTTCACGCTCGGACACGATGTTTAATGCGAAAATATATACTTGAAGCATTTTTGTCACAGGTCATAACCTAGCACGATACGTCCAATAAGTTCCATAATTTACGTATAGGTAGCGATTTCTTGCTTAATATGTTAAAAATTGCGTTATTTTACCCAAAACTTGTGTCTAAATCTAAAGGTTTTCGTTTACGAGGACGGTATCCATTGCCGTAATATGATTGGCTGCCTCATGTCACGTGTCTGATTTTGACCAATCACGACCCTTAAGGCCAGACACTGCACCTCACATATGACAAAATGCTTAACAAGTATTTGTTATGTTTATTTAGTTTCAACTTAGAGGTATACATGTTAACAATCGATAAAGAGTCTTTTCCAGGTGATGTTGCCACCGGTTGCCATGGAAACGTCCAAGATGGACGCTGCAAGCCTGAAAAAAGATGAAATTTAGTGAAAGTTTTTCTCTAAAACTAATAAAGATATCTATATAATTTCAACTTTACAACATACCTTGGGGTGTGTAGGGTGCAATGACAGAGAGATATTTTTTAAAAAAGACTGTTATTTTATTTAAAAATTTGTTTGAAAAACATCACTTTTGGGGGTTGATTTTCACTCATATTTTATTTTTTAAAAAGAAAACAGGCAACAAATTTGAAAAAGTCTCTCTGTTATTGCATAAAGTAATCAATTGGCTATATGTACACAAAATTTCATTGAAATCGGGCCAGTAACAACTGAGAACTATGTTCACTAAGATCGAAAAAGACGTATATGGAGAAAATAAGGAAATAAATTTGGTCATGTTTTTTCCTACTTTAGCACGAGATAAACACATTCAAAGTCTCAGTTTACTGAAGGGATGTGTTCCAAATACATGAAGCAATTCATATACAAAGAAAAAAAGACATAAAACTCCCCTACACCATACAACAACCACTCAGTGGTCAGTTGCTTCAACACAAACTCTATCCCTTCGCATCCATTGAGGTGTAGGTTTGTCATTGACAAGGAAATGAGATCGGAGGTTTTCAAAAAAAATATATTTTGAAAGTTCTATGCGTGAATCTCCATTCAATAAAAACTATTTCTTACCTTCATTGACTCCATTGGGAATGTTTTCCTCAAAGGCGTGGTCCCCAGATGTTTCCGATGCATCGAAAATGTAGAAGCTGTCAGAATCTAAATACATGCTTGATCGCGCTGTCAAAACTTGTCGGATCTTTGACACTGCATTTTAAGCATGCCTGTCGCAACTGCGCCTCTTATTCTTTATGTAGGCGTGCTTTGACTTTGTTCTTCTCATTTTTATAGAATACAACAACTGTTAGTCAAGAATATATCAAATACGATGTTTATCGGTCGATGTTTTCGCGAAGCAGCCGCCATTTTGAATGCTTACCGGGAAAGGACGATGTTTTGTTGATATGCCGAATGGTGCATTGTGGGATACGTTTACCATATAAGGATGTAACGAAGATTACCGAATGTTGCATTGTGGGATATTTCGCCTTGCCGAATGCTGCATTGTGGGATATTTCGCCTTACAAGGATGTTTTCGTACAGAATACCTATCGCGGGAAAGTAGAGATATCCTCACGTGGAATATCTATTTTTAGAATGTTTTTGACCAACAACATGGCGGACACGATGAGCTTTCTAGCGATGTATAACATGAATGGGTTCGTCCCTGCTGGGAGGGCGTTGTTAGGGGTGAAAGTTCGGCGTTTTCAGGGTTTGATTTCACACATTTTTAAATATTATCACATATACGATTATGTTTGTAGGGGTTTATATCAATAAATAAGACTCTTTATCGAAAACAACGTGTTGTATCGTGAAGTACATGTGTTAATTATACGAAAAAATCAAAATCTCGATTTTGACGTATTAAATCTATCACATTTCACAATGTCTGAAAACACTTATTAAATTTCAATTTATCATATATAATATCATAAGCAGAATTAAAATTATAAACTATTTTTCGCAGTGTTATTGAAAACAACAATTCTCGGACACATGCTTCGGCAGCGGGTCCACAATAACATTGTCAAAGTGCAAAGTAACGATGTTTCGAGGAAATTATTAAATAAATTGAATAAACTAATGAATAAAATCAACAACAGCATTCATAAAAGTTGTCAAACGTACATATAAAATTACTATTTCCATCTTTTTGTGCGATCATGTAATGTAAGTCAAGTCACTGACAAGTGACATCTCGGCTCTCGCTGCCTCAAGCTTCACGCTCGGACACGATGTTTAATGCGAAAATACATACATGAAGCATTTTTGTCACGGGTCATAACCTAGCACGATACGTCCAATAAGTTCCATAATTTACGTATAGGTAGCGATTTCTTGCTTAATATGTTAAAAATTGCGTTATTTTACCCAAAACTTGTGTCTAAATCTAAAGGTTTTCGTTTACGAGGACGGTATCCATTGCCGTAATATGATTGGCTGCCTCATGTCACGTGTCTGATTTTGACCAATCACGACCCTTAAGCAGGCTGTAGCGAAAAAAGCGTCATTAGAAACCAATTTTTATCCAATAAAATCGCTTCTTACAACTGTGAAAATACTCTCGGCAAGGGTTCAGTGATGTTGTTGATGTTCAGAGCTTTCGAACGATACCCGACATCAAACGATTCGCCTCCCATGTTTTTCATACGAAGCTTCGAAAACGGAGGTATTTTCCGTTGTTATGTCATGTTACCGAGCGGAAAGCCACAGATATCGGGACAGGCGACCATACATATTATTTAAGAAATCTTTTTATAATAATTTTCTGATTACGTAAAAAATGAAAATATAAAAGAAAAAGGCACGGGCATGTTATGAGATGTCACAAATGGAAAAAAATCGCCATAGTTTTTGCTTCTTTCGTGGTTTATCTGGACGTTATAAATGTAAGCTTGCATTTTCATTCAAAAATTATTATATTTAAGTTGTAGTTGTATTTTTTGAATAATATTATAAAAATAAACTTCATATTTATCAACAGTAGGATTAGATCTTTCAAATGGTGTATGGGATGTAGTAGCAATAACGTTTTTCAAGCTTATAATTTCCTTCATAAACATAGGCTTCATCTGTGACCTCAGAGTCTCTGGGAACTCGGTGTCATGGCAGTAAATGCCCCTGGTTGACTGGTGTTGAAAGAGTTAATCAGGGGCAGAGGTGGCAGGTGACGTTTGCACACACAGGTCATATTGTCAGCTGGTTCATTTTTTCTATGTAGCGAATTTCAACCGTTTGCTTGGCAGTACGTTTGATTGTAAAGCTACTGACTGGTTCCTTTGGCTATTTAGAGAGAAAAATCCCGTTTCCTTTGAAGCTGCTGATAGTAGTGCGTTTGTCGGAAACATATAGCTAAAACCTATTTTTTTTAAACTATTTTTTGTGACACTTTGCTCACTCAAAGATCGGGTTGTCAAATGGCCCCTTTTACTTTTTAAGAATTTTTAGAAATTATAATTTTTTCTCTTTCCTTGTCAGCAAGTTTGACTTCTTGGAGTGGCATTTTTAGAAACGATTTCTTTATTCAGGTGATCGACGTTACACACTGATTATTGTATGTTATACTTGCTTGACAACAAAACAAGACTTTATTTGAAACATCGCATCACCTGAATATTTGAATAATGAAATTGTTATCCATAAAGTTTGTCCTTGTCTTGCAAGTTTGACTTCAGCACATGTTGTTATGTACCTGATAGACAATGTTTTGCATCCGAAATTCCATGGTATTGTTTTGTAAGTTAATTATTTTGTATTGGGACAAAAATATTCGATTTTTTCACATCTAGTTAGACTTAAAGCAACAGTCAGATGACTTCTTTTTGAATATACAGGGGCTTGGCCCGCGGGAATTGTCATCTTCTGGTGACTCTTGTTAAAAAAAGTCGGTGAAAGTCTCGTCTCTTAGATGATGCTATGTCAGATCACCCATGGTAAACTTTAAACTGTTAAATTGTGTTGATGGTGATTTATTTTTTTCCTGTATTTCAGAGTGAGGACAAAACACTCTCGGATTGACGGAACGGGTCAGCTTCAGAAGACAAGAGGACATCATCAACTGTCCATAGCACCAATCCAGCCCTACAAAACCAAGACTTTCATGTCCTTCATGAACAAAACTTTTACGACCTTCATGAACAAACTTTCACGTCCGTCTTGACTGTATTTGTACACTAAATTTCAGTTTATCCCAGAAAACGTGTTGATTTGTTATTGTTAATGTAACTATAGAAAACGGCTAGCCCGAAGCCCGAGCCTTGTAACATTCTGTTCGGTCTTGTCAGCTGAGCAAGTAATAGTATACTGTAAACATCAAAATATGATGCGTATAGCCAGGTTCAGTGTATTATACTTGGACTCGACTTACAATTTTGAAAGTCTGTAGGGTATATAAAGGTGTCCACGTGATTCGTTAATCCAGGCATGCTTTAATCCGGACGATTGACAAAACTGATATTGTATAGATTAAGGGGAACCAGGTGGAGTAAGGGCAACCTACAGCTCACCTTTCACCTTTCGGTTTTAGTTTTACTCCGCTTTTAGCAATATTCCAGCAGTATCATGGCGGGGACACCAGAAATGGGCTTCACACATTGTACCCATGTGGGGATCGAACCCGGGTCTTCGGTGTGACAAGCGAACGCTTTAACCACTAGGCTACCCCACTTTTCAGACAAAATCGGTAACAGAAGTAAAGGATGTTATTTGGAAGTGTTGTTCACAGAAAGCACACTGTCGCTTAGTATTAGTCTTGGATTAACGGATTAGTGACCGATGACTATATATCTGCAATATTTCTATAATCGACAGTGGTTAGAAACGTCGATTATGAGTCAACTGGATTATTGCTCATGATATCGATCACTAGATTGACTGTTTACAGGCCGCGGTCATAGATGCATAGCTGGAATAAACCTATATTTATCCCTCAAGTGATGAATATGAACCGAGACTTTAGAGATGCTAATTAGCGTCAAATGTCACGTTTCTAACCTCAAAATACACATCCTTTTTCTTATCATCAGATTTACTGTTTACAGGCCGCGGCCATAGATGCATTGCTCAATAAAACCGATATTCATCTCACAAGTGATGAATACTAACCGAGACTTTAGGGATACTAATTAGCGTCAAATGTCACGTTGTTTCTAACCTCAAAATACACATCCTTTTTTTATCATGCATAGCTGGAATATTGCTGAATGAGACCGATTTCGTCTCTCAAGTGATACATATTAACCGAGAAATTAGAGATACTATTTAGCATCAAATGTCACACTGTTTTAACCTCAAAACACATTTCGTTTGTAGACCCTTAATGTGTTTACTGGACAAAGTGCATTGCCACGTATCGTTCCGAGAACCGACCAATGAGTGTTAAGTAATTTTCAAATTTAGCGCAGTTAACTCTAAACGTCACCATCACGTCTCCAATCGTAATTTTTATTTTAAATTGAAACACGTCGGATATTATCTGAGAGAATCCATATACAAAAGCATGTCTCATTAGTAACATATCGCTTATCTCACATTCATTTACGAACGTCACAAACACGATCGCAGATGTGAACATTCTGCCATTCATGAGCAGTCTCATAGCTCATAAATATTTTCACATTAAACTGAGACTAATGTTCCAGAATACATCTTACAATTTGTAGAATCTCAAACAATATGTCTGTGGCACGACTTCAAATCCGGATGAAAACTATGTCTGTGTAAGTAAAGGGGCGATAACTCTGCTATTCTTTTAACTAAGCCATTGTGAGTCACCTCCCCTGTTCTGAATTTTCTATGGATCACAACAAGATATTCTTTTTGCAATTAGTTTCCTCACGAGTCAGCAAACTGTTGTTGTACGGAAACTAATTATAACCGTGACAGGTCATAAGAATAAAAATGAAATCGTACTAAGTGACACAGAAATAGATGGCCTTAGTGCGAAGTTTAATTTGTCTTAAAACAAACACCTTAAATTCCAACGTCCCCTTAACTGCGTTAATGTATTTTGACCCATGTTGCCTAATATTTAAAGGAGAACGATTCTTATCGTGAAATGTAACGGACTTCAGAAACATTTATCATTTTTATGCTTTACGTCATTTCTTGTTATATATCTTTGACGACATAGGAGAAAGACGTTCATACATTGATAGATATCCCATGTCTACGAATTATATTTCACTTTCACACATACAATGACGTGCTCCTTGCCCAGTAAAAGCAGTGGAGTGAGTGAGTAAAGTTTAACCTATTGTCGGAATATCAAGGCGGAGGACTTTAATGGACTTTAACCGCAAGGCTACACACACACACACGCACACACGCACACGCGCACACACACACACACACAACTAAAGAGGACCACTGATTCAGATGTGACAACCTTGGTAGTCGTGACAAGCACTCTAGTATATGTGACCAATTCTGCAGATGTAACGAAAAAAACTACTAGGCTAACCAACCGACCGCTAAGGACAGTGGACAGTAGATCACATATGCACACAGCCTGAAAGTTTAGTAGTTAGTTGGCTTCTATTGGATAATCAAGTAACTCCCCAATAACTGTACGTCTGCGAGATGTCGCAAGTTTTACCTTATCCAGTTACTCTTTAAAAACAGGCTTGATTTGAACATAGAAAACACATACCAGGGGTCTGTACGTATTGTTTATGGATTTTTACGTAACGATATCTTGAAACTTGAGATTGTAAAAGCTGCTTCAAACACGTAATAAAATACCGTTTCCGATGTGATCCCAAGAATATTCTCTGAAACGTGTTCTTCAAATTAAAGTAGTCGACATCTCCAAAATAACCTCCTCAGAAACAGCCACTTTACGGTCCAAGGGAAGTAACTCTTCATCGCTACATGGTACACGTTTGCTTGCATGTGTTCAAAACTCCAAGGAGTTCTTCGTTCAAACCAAATGTTGATAACTTACGTATTTATTCGTTGTATTAACTGTGAAGGTTACCACCCTCCCCGCCCCATTTACCGTTATATTTTTTTCACTTTAATTCTCATTAGCTCGCTGCTGAAGCCAAAAGCACGGAATCAGAATTCGCTCCAAGTCACTTACGAAATCCTCTATAGCGCCCGTTCCTTTCTCAAAAAAGGGGACCCGTGAAGGTCCGGGATTCAATATTGATCTTCAGTAACCCTTGCTTGTCGTAAGAGGCGACTAACGGGACCGGGTGGTCGGGCTCCCTGACTTGGTTGACACATGTCATCGGTTCCCAGTTGTGTAGATCGATGCTCATGCTGTTCATCACTGGACTTAAAACTAAACTCACTCAAAAAAGGGTGAGATCTAAAGTGAACTGTTAAATTACATATCGAAAAGATAAAACATGTAACGGAATTTTATGTACACATAAGTCCCAATTAAAGACTGAATATGGGTAACATGTACAGTTTCATTTGAGTCACAAAAACCTCAAAAGAGACCCCCGAACTCTCGTTTCCAAGAGTTTTGGCTTCCTATATACATGCGCATGCTGTCAGCATAGGCGGTGGAGTAGCCTAGTGGTTAAAGCGTCCGCCCGTCACGCCGAAGACCCGGGTTCGATTCCCCACATGGGTACAATGTATGAAGCCCATTTGTGCTGTCTCCCGCCGTGATATTGCTAGAATATTGCTAAAAGCGGCGTAAAACCCAACTCCTCACTCACTATACGTGTCGGTTCCAAATTCAGTTTAGGACTGTTAATCTTCGGCTTACGACTATCTGCAGGTAACAGCTCCATACTGAAAAGAACACGAATTCACGCTCTCCCAAATTTCAGTTTTCTGAACTTCGATATACGATATGGGAAGAGTGGTCACATTGACATAGCGGTTATTTGTCCTTCATAGAAGTCAGGCCTGAATGTTATGAAAACGTGACGCGAAGAGACAGAGAAAGAACTGGGTTGTAAACCATCCCTTATAGATGTACCCGGAGCAAGTGGTTGAAGTTAGCTAACCCTAACTCAGTGCTATTGATGGCGACACCCGCTTGTTGACCCACCCGGTCGAATATCTCTCAAACCCAGAACGTTTTCTATAGCATATTTTGACTTCCAGTGACATTCCAGTCCAAAGTTAAATATAAGTCGCTCTTCACCATTTGTACATATATCCTCAAGATGAATACTTTGTACTTTGAGACATTTTAAACAACCTCGTCTCGGGCCGATCTAAGGTATTGCCGCGCCCTAAACATGATTTGTTTATCAAGTTGATGCGTGTCGTCTGCTTCTTAGAAGCGACGGCATAGTTCGTCTGTTCTGTGGAGACCGGAGTTCTGAGGACGCGTCTCCTCAAAGCTGTATCTCATCACGGCCATGCACCATTACGTCTTAACAGGTTCAATCAGACCCTTCAGATGACAAAACCTCTTTTGAAGCGCGTATGCTAGCAATGCCATCTGATTTCACAATTATTTTAAACTTCTGTGTGTACGACCCTGGATGCGTCTGCGATCGTGCCTGCTTGTGAAGACTCAAACGCTGGGCGGCTTGACTAATGAGCGAGGGGTGTGAGGGGGTAGGAAGGGGTGGGGTAATGAGGTTCCCACACCCGGGTGTAAACACTCAGACTCCAGGAATAGACCTTGCATCACGTGTGCCTGGTACCTAGTGCATATGTAACCACAAACGCGTTGAAGGGTTCTGAACATTGAGGGGCGGTGGGTAGCTTTGTGGTTAAAGCGTTCGCTAGTCACACCAAAGACTTGGGTTTGATTCTCCACATGGGTACCATTTCTCATGTCCCCCGCCGTGATGTTGCTGGAATATTGCTAAAAGCGGCGTAAAACTAACTCACTCACTCTTCTGATAATTTGACTTCCTTTGGTCGGTTGATGGTTGGCAACAGTATTAACCAGTTTAGAATATATGAAATTATGTTTATATCGAACATGTTTATAACGAACTGACGGATATAACGAACTGTAACGAGCTACAATTAGAGGTCGCTTGAGTTCGACACAACCGTAGTTTACTGTAACTGATTTGTACAATAGGTCCCTCAGCATAAACACAGGTGCCCCGTGTACCAAACACATTTTGCATCTGTAAGTTTTAAAAGGTGTAGATCTTTTTAACCGAAACGATACATTTCAACCAAGTTGCCATGCAATTGATATTAAAACCTAAGAGAGTCGGGTAGGTTTGATATTGTTATTTGTCTCGAGTACAGCATAACGTTGACCAGGTCTACCCCGTCAGTTATCACGTGCACGGTGTCACGGTGGTCACAACTACCTCCAAGGGTGTCACATCTAAAGCAGTGTTCCGTACGCGTCCAATTAATAAGAGGAGGGGTACCCTAGCGGTTAAAGCGTTCGATCGTCACGCCGAAGGCCAGGGTTCGATTCCCCACACGGGCACAATGTGTGAAGCCCATTCCTGGTGTCTCACGTGATATTGCTGGAATATTGCAAAAAACGACGTCTTTTCAATCAGTGGTTGTCTACTTCAGTTTAGATCAAACCTGCCTCAAATGCTGTAACGTGATCTACAAAGGTGGTTGGCTACCCCAATGGTGTTAGCCAAGTGGTTCAACCGTTCACTTGTCTCGACCGGTTCGATTGCCCATAAAGGTACAAAACGCTGTTAACCCACCGCGATATGATAGAACACTGCCAAAAATGCCAAACTCACTCAGTTATGGCTAAGGACGTTTCTTATACAGTCAAATGCAAGTTTGTCAGGCTGAACTGAACTGAAATTTATTTACATCCCGGCTGCGTTCTGTGGCATTAGGGGTACAAGTTTACATTATCATTATGTAAGCGAGTGAGTTTAGTTTTGCGCCGCTCTTAGAAATATTCCAGCAACAACACGAAGGGGGACACCAGAATGGGCTTCACACATTGTACCCATGTGGGGAATCGAACCCGGGCCTTCGGCGTGACGAGCGAACGCTTTAACCACAAGGCTACCCCTCCGGATCTCATCATTATGTAAAACGCATACACGTGTATATGTTACATACATGTATGACACAACTACATGGTAATATATACATATCGGTTCTATACGGCTATGCCCAGACAAGACTATTTAGACACCGGTTTCACAGACGGACTATTCATATTGCTGACTACAACGTAAAACAACACTCATCCCACTATAGTTACAAGTTGGCTGTAGTTCAATCTGTGTGATACGAGCAACTCTGGAGGGCGTCAGTCTTCTAGTCAGAGGTAACATGGTTGTGTTGTTTATGAGAGTCGCAGCTTATCCAGGGGGAACGTCACGCCGCTAGCGACCCAACACCGCCAGATAAGTGAACATACGTAATGGTCTCGTAATGGTCTCATTACTTGACCCGACCGCGTCATACCAAAAGACGTTAAAACATGGTACTTGTTGGTCCCTGACTGGTGCTCGGCATTAATGGGTACAACAAGGACTGGTCGGCTCGGAGTCAGTATAATGTGTCTGAGTGGGGTATTCATGCTTCACTGCGGCATGGTATCTCAGTGGTCTATCACTATAAAGCCAGCTTCAGTCTGGGCTAGTACAAGCAGCCGCACATACACATACACACGCATGCACGTCGTCATATGAGCGAAATATTCTCAAGCACGACGTCGACGTTAAGCCCAATTTCACTTCACCTCATTACTTGAGGGGACATTGGGGTGGGTAGCCTTGTGGTAAAACCGTTCGTCACGCCGAAGACCCGGGTTCGATTCCCCACATGGGTACAAGTGTGAAGTCCATATCTGGTGTCCCCCGCGGTGATATTGCTGGAATATTGCTAAAAGCGGCGTATTTAAACCACACTCACTCACGCACTCGTTACTGTAGGACGGGTTCTTGGGACGTTATACTGACCACTGTTGTTTGGAGGGGCGGTTGTTTGGTTGTTTGGTTGTTTTAACGCCGCTCTCATCAGTATTCCAGCTACATGGCGGCGGTCTGTAAATAATTGAGTCTGGGCCATACAATCCAGTGATCAACAGCATGAACATCGATGATTCCGTTAGTCGCCCCTTACGACAAGCATATGCATGTGTTTCTGAAGACCAATTCTAACCTGGATCTTCACGGGTTCGAAGTACTGAGGGGGCAGGGGAATGAAAAAGGCACACGGGTTAATATATAGAAAACGTTTACATCACAGTTATTACCATTTAGTTTGTGTTTAACGACGCATTCAACAATTTTCCAGCTATATGACAGCTGTCTGTTAGTAATCGCGTAAAAGATTCTAATCTAATCTTCACGGGTCTGTGTGAAGCCCATTTCTGGTGTATCCCGCCGTTATATTGGTCCAATATTGCTAAAAGCGCTGTACAACCATACTCACTCACTCACTCACTCACTCACTCACTCACTCACTCACTCACTCACTCACTCACTCACTCACTCACTCACTCACTCACTCACTCACTCACTCACTCACTCACTCACTCACTCACTCACTCACTCACTCACTCACTCACTCACTCACTCACTGTAAAGTAAACTTACTCAGCCACTGCAGCTTCTACAGATTGTGTCCTGACAAATTAGGTGCCTCACGGCGAGAAAGGGGTTGCGAATCCCATATGGGACTCAATCGAGAAAAGTTACTAGAATCCAAGTAAGTATAATCCCGAATATAGCATCGTTACCTACCTCGTTAGGATGAGAGAGCCACAATAACTCGGTGCGCCTAGTGGCTGCAAGAGTTGTATACTCCTCAGGGAGTGGAGATTGATAATACGATGTGCCGTTGAGATTGACATCCAATGATCGAGGGTAAAAAATACCAGCGCCTTGAGCATGTACTATAGTTGCGTGGATATGTGCGCTATATAAATATCCTATAATAATAAAAATAAATGATAATATCTTACCACTATGGAAATGCCATTGTGTATTCACAAAAAAATATTTCGTCACTGGCAGCTAAACTACAAATTTCGTTACTGTCACTCTTTTACTTTTGACAGTAGCCTCCCGATGACTTATCAGCAAATTCGACCAGCTCATTCACTGCAAGAGTGAGCGACTTGAGTTTTAGGCTGCTTTTAGCAATATTCCAGCAATATCAAAGCGGGGGACTCCAGAAATAGGCTTAACACATTGTACCCATGTGGGGAAACGAACCCGGTCTTCGGCGTGACGAGCGAACGCTCACCGCCCCTTTACTATAAGGAAAACCCCTCTACAATAACTCAACACCAAGACCCTGAAAAGAACCAGCATTGCCAATCAACCCCTGAGCCTAAACCTCTTCTCACGCAGAATACGATGACGCGAACGCAAACAGATATTGATGGCTTCAATTATGTATATCTAAGAGGGTGGACACCCATCGCGCCAAAAGTCGTATCAGGTATGTTGGTCTAATTGCGATACCTAGTCTCAATTCGTTGTTGTACTGTCCACAAAAGATTAACCCCTGTCAGTAACCCGCATTTCACCCCTTTCATCAGACCGTGCTTCGAGCGACCCGGTTTTTCACGCCATCATTGATACCCGGATTTGAATTGACCCGTTATATATCCAATACCGCCATTCCGGCGTGCCACTGTAGACTTAAAGGTTCCACATGTACAGTTGTCGCCTTAAATATTTCCCTTAAAGTGAGGAAGTTTCTTTTCACACCGCTTTAAGCAATACTCTAGAAATATCACATCGGGCTTCCCTAAAGACATTTTCAAAAATAAATTGCGAATGTGCTGATCGACCTAATTATGAGCAACAAACAATCGAGTACACAAATTAAATCTACATATATACTGTACAGTTATTTTATTAGCACCATTTTCTGTTTCAGTAATTATGAAACTATGTCAAGAGAGAGAGAGAGAGAGGAGAGAGAGAGAGAGAGGGAGAGTTTATATGGTTTACAAAAAATGTACCGGTTTAAAGAGGTTTTGTTGTTCATTTGTCTTTGAGCAGTATGGTCTGGAACTTACTGCCACTGTTTGCACTTGTTTCTGGGTCTCCGTCTGCGAGGACTCACTCACTCACTCCAGCATACCACGGAATTAGTCTCAGCATCCAAATTTAAAAACTCTTGAAGGCCCGGTTAGAATTGGTCTTCAACAACCCATGTTTGTCGTATAGCTGGAATATTGCTGAGAGCCGCGTTAGACATCAACCAACCAACCCAAACTACAAAACTATCAAGTGAATTAGTCTAGGAGTGACTAGTGAACGCTTCAACCACAACTCCAACGCCCAAACTAAGATGGTGCAGTGATCAATGAAAAATAAATAAATACATAAACACGAAAAAAAGGGCGAGAGAGAGAGAGAGAGAGAGAGAGAGAGAGAGAGAGGAGAGGAGAGAGAGAGGAGAGAGAGAGAGAGAGAGGAGAGAGTGAGAGAGAGAGGGGGGGTTGAAGGAGTAAGAGAGAAAGACACAAAAGAGGGGGAGAGGGAAGGACACAAGAAGGGGGGGGGGGTGTTGTGGAAGAAAACTGACATCTTCTGAAGTACTGAAGTAAAGAAAAAACGTTCATTCACTCCTACTATGTACGTCTAAATACTGATCTCAATACCACCTGAGGTTATTTTCATCGTTTGCAGAAAATTCGTATTTTTTCACTCTTTGGCCATTACAGTTCCACATATCGCGTTAATAGTTTCAGCATTGCAAGGGGTCAGCCATGTGACATTCGCTCTGACCTTTCGTCAGCACGCAGTGTGTTATAACGCCGCATGTTTGTACGGGTAGGTCGGATCAGGCAGCAGGAGGTAACAGCAAGGCACAGATTAATTTGCAAATAATGATATTTGTTGCAAAATATTTTGAGTCTTGTATATCAACAAGCGCAAACGGTGTGATACTGACTTGAAATGCCACACCAGTCACCAGGGTGACCGGCACTTCCGCGAAGCGTTGCTGAAAAGCTGAACTAATTTTATTTTTTTGTAGACAGGAACGGACACAATTCGACTGGGAGACGTGCCTCCCCGTTACGACTAAACTGGCATTTTAACATGCAACCAAGCGACTTTAATATTTTCGTTTCTGGGTTGTGACGTATAACCTGTGTACCAGTCGTCTTTTGTATCTAACCTTGCTATTTTTTCTGTTAAGTCAAGCCTGTCTGCAACAGTTTGAAAAGAAAACTTTGGTGTATACAAAGACCGGCTTTTGACATAAAAAGGTTCCGATAAAAAAAATGCACTTTCAGCGTCCCAGTTGATCATTGGTGGTTCCGTGAAGACACCGTAAATGTACGTTTATCATCCTTTATACATATACCTGTGTGTGTCAGTGAGTGAGCGAGTGAGTTTAGTTTTACGCCGTTTTAGCAATATTCGAGCAATATCACGGCGGGGGTCGAACCCGGGTCTGTGGCGTGACGGACGACCGCTTTAACCACTAGGTTGCCCTACCGCCCCTTTTTCTAAGGTGGGGCAACCTAGTGGTTAATGCGTTCACTCGTCACGGTGAAGACTCGAGTTCGATTCCACACATGGGTACAATGTGTGAAGCCCATTTCTGGCGTCCCTGGCGTGATATTGCTGAAATATTGCTGAAGCGACGTAAATTGAACTCAGCGAAATCTGTTTAACGCCACTTTTGAAGATAAATTTACGTCATGCCAATATTTATCATGTTGGTTAACCAATTAGCATGGTTGGTGCCGGCATACTGAGGATCAGAATTGGGACGAATCCGGGATTCGAACCCATGCACTGCCACAGGATCCTGGTACTGACAATAGTCGAGGCTACAAGATTACTGCATCTCGTGTCCCGGAATATTTATAGGGTAACTCACAGAAGAACAATACCAAATCTGTTTTCTTGACTAATACCCTTCTAAACATTTAAACCGTTCTAACCATTTAAACCCTTCTAAACATTTAAATCCCCCATCATCTACTTTACAGACTTCCCCCGGCTATAGCTGAAAACAGTGGCACGGAAAAGAGAAGACTCCTGTGTTGAATCTATCGTCGAGTTGTTAAAACGAAATGTTAACTCGTCTCACTTAAGAAAATCAGAACGGCAAATGCCATCGGTTATAGGACATCGGGGTCACTGTGAAACTGATGCGTATTTTTTGGAACACAAGTTACAGACCGTCCTTCGTTACGCCACGATTTTTCCTTTAACAAGTAAGTAACAGACCGCCCTTCGTTACACCACGATTTTACCTTTACCAAGTAAGTTACAAACGGTCCTTCTTTATACCACGATTTTACCTTTACCAAGTAAGTTACAGACCGTCCTTCGTTGGGCCATGATTTTACCTTTACCAAGTAAGCTACAAACGGTCCTTCTCTATACCACGATTTTACCTTTACCAAGTAAGTTACAGACCGTCCTTCGTTGGGCCATGATTTTACCTTTACCAAGTAAGCTACAAACGGTCCTTCTCTATACCACGATTTTACCTTTACCAAGTAAGTTACAGACCGCCCTTCGTTACACCACGATTTTACCTTTAACAAGTAAGTTACAGACAGCCCTTCGTTACACCATGATTTTACCTTTACCAAGTAAGTTACAGACAGCCCTTCGTTACACCACGATTTTACCTTTACCAAGTAAGTTACAAACGGTCCTTCTCTATACCACGATTTTACCTTTACCAAGTAAGTTACAGACCGCCCTTCGTTACACCACGATTTTACCTTTACCAAGTAAGTTACAAACGGTCCTTCTCTATACCACGATTTTACCTTTACCAAGTAAGTTACAGACCGCCCTTCGTTACATAGACAGGAACGGACACAATTCGACTGGGAGACGATGCCTCCCGTTACGACTAAACTGGCATTTTAACATGCAACCAAGCGACTTTAATATTTTCGTTTCTGGGTTGTGACGTATAACCTGTGTACCAGTCGTCTTTTGTATCTAACCTTGCTATTTTTTTTCTGTTAAGTCAAGCCTGATTTTTGAAAAGAAAACTTTGTTGTATACAAAAAGACCGGCTTTTGACATAAAAAGGGTTCCGATAAAAAATGCACTTTCCAGCGTCGTTGATCATTAGTTCAGTGAGAACACACCGTAAATGTACGTTTATCATCCGATTTATACATTTACCTGTACGTGTCAGTGAGTGAGCAGAGTGAGTTTAGTTTTACGCCGTTTTAGTAATATTCGAGCAATATCACGGCGGGGTCGAACCCGGTCTGTGGCGTGACGGACGACCACTTTAACCACTAGGTTGCCCTACCGCCCCTTTTCCCGCACCACAAGGTGGGGGGACAGCCTATTAACGCCACTTTGAAGATAAATTTACGTCATGCCAATATTTATCATGTTGGTTAACCAATTAGCATGGTTGAATTATGCCGGCATACTGAGGATCAGAATTGGGACGAATCCGGGATTCGAACTCATGCGCCACAGGATCCTGGTACTGACAATGAGTCCGCTACAGATTACTTGCGTCTCGTGTCCCGGAATATTTATAGGGTACCTCACAGAAGAACAATACCAAATCTGTTTTCTACCTTTACCCTACTAAACATTTAAACCGTTCTAAATCCATTTACAGCCCTTCTAAACATTTATATCCCCACGATTTTACCTTTACCAAGTATTGTTACAGAGAGACTCCTTCTTTAATCTACCACGATTTTACCTTCTCACCAAGTAAAATCAGACCGGCAAATGCCCTTCGTTACACCACGATTTTGAAACTGACGTATTTTTTGAACAGTAAGTTACAAACGGTCCTTCTATACCACGATTTTACCTTTACCAAGTAAGTTACAGACCGCCCTTCGTTACACCACGATTTTACCTTTACCAAGTAAGTTACAGACGAGCCCTTCTTTATACCACGATTTTACCTTTACCAAGTAAGTTACAGACCGCCCTTCGTTACACCACGATTTTACCTTTACCAAGTAAGTTACAAACGGTCCTTCTTTATACCACGATTTTACCTTTACCAAGTAAGTTACAGACCGTCCTTCGTTGGGCCATGATTTTACCTTTACCAAGTAAGCTACAAACGGTCCTTCTCTATACCACGATTTTACCTTTACCAAGTAAGTTACAGACCGCCCTTCGTTACACCACGATTTTACCTTTAACAAGTAAGTTACAGACAGCCCTTCGTTACACCATGATTTTACCTTTAACAAGTAAGTTACAGACAGCCCTTCGTTACACCACGATTTTACCTTTAACAAGTAAGTTACAAACGGTCCTTCTCTATACCACGATTTTACCTTTACCAAGTAAGTTACAGACAGCCCTTCTTTATACCACGATTTTACCTTTACCAAGTAAGTTACAGACAGCCCTTCTTTATACCACGATTTTACCTTTACCAAGTAAGTTACAGACCGCCCTTCGTTACACCACGATTTTACCTTTACCAAGTAAGTTACAAACGGTCCTTCTTTATACCACGATTTTACCTTTACCAAGTAAGTTACAGACCGCCCTTCGTTACACCACGATTTTACCTTTAACAAGTAAGTTACAAACGGTCCTTCTCTATACCACGATTTTACCTTTACCAAGTAAGTTACAGACCGCCCTTCGTTACACCACGATTTTACCTTTACCAAGTAAGTTACAGACAGCCCTTCTTTATACCACGATTTTACCTTTACCAAGTAAGTTACAGACCGCCCTTCGTTACACCACGATTTTACCTTTACCAAGTAAGTTACAAACGGTCCTTCTTTATACAACGATTTTACCTTTACCAAGTAAGTTACAGACCGTCCTTCGTTGGGCCATGATTTTACCTTTACCAAGTAAGCTACAAACGGTCCTTCTCTATACCACGATTTTACCTTTACCAAGTAAGTTACAGACCGCCCTTCGTTACACCACGATTTTACCTTTAACAAGTAAGTTACAGACAGCCCTTCGTTACACCATGATTTTACCTTTAACAAGTAAGTTACAGACAGCCCTTCGTTACACCACGATTTTACCTTTAACAAGTAAGTTACAAACGGTCCTTCTCTATACCACGATTTTACCTTTACCAAGTAAGTTACAGACAGCCCTTCTTTATACCACGATTTTACCTTTACCAAGTAAGTTACAGACCGCCCTTCGTTACACCACGATTTTACCTTTACCAAGTAAGTTACAAACGGTCCTTCTCTATACCACGATTTTACCTTTACCAAGTAAGTTACAGACCGCCCTTCGTTACACCACGATTTTACCTTTACCAAGTAAATTACAGACAGCCCTTCTTTATACCACGATTTTACCTTTACCAAGTAAGTTACAGACCGCCCTTCGTTACACCACGATTTTACCTTTAAATGCACAATGTCACACATTTTCTAAAATATTTTGTCCTATATAATATATATTGGGGCATATGCACTCACTTTAGCTTCCGAGTGATGCAATAAAAGACCCTTACGACTTGCCTGAAATCGATAATCGATAATTAATACTTCGAGGCGAACAGCTTACAAACAGAGAACAGTTGCCATATATGGAATGAAAACACTTGCTCCATACATCGAAAACTGTCGCACGCGGTGTTGTCGGTGTTTGCCGAACTGGTGTCAATCAAAAGTTGTACGTGGATATTCGTAAAGAGCGCAACAAGGGACATATGTCTATAGGGTTCGCTTGAAATAATGCTCGGCCGGTAGACTGACTGACTGACTGAGTTTGGTTTTACGCCGCTTTTAGCAATATTCCAGCAACATCACGGCGGGGGAAACCAGAAATAGGCTTCACACATTGTGCCCATGTGGGGATTCGAACCCGGGTCTTCGGCGTGACGAGCCAACGCTTTAACCATTTGGCTACCCCACCGCCCCTCGGCCGGTAGAAGGTGCGAGAGTCGATTAAATGCAACGTTGCATTATTCATTCGAACTATTTAATTTAATGTATTGTAATCTAAAGACGTACTTTTTCGGAAATGAATTATATGGTAGCTTCCATGAGGGCTGATTGTTAGTATTATTGAGAGAAATTCATTATTTATTTTGAGAGATGTGAGATAGTGCCTTTAACAAGTAGCATGTGAACTACAAATGAAGACTGAAATGACGACGAGAAGTGAGAAAACCAAGTGTCGGACCGAATGCTTGATTGGAGGTTTATCGTGGGCCACTGCTGTGTGTGTGGTCTCTCTAATTATACACTGCACTTCTAATTATTTACGTAACAATCAGTGATAAAGCTGCATCGATGAACTGTTTAATTGGCTTGTGTTGTAGGCCAGCATAGATCGCATGGGAACGCAACATATAAATTTGGTGCATCGCAGAATGGTTTTCATTCATCAATTTGAGGCTTCGCCCTGATACGCTTTGAATAAAGGCACAATGTCACACCACACTTCTCTAAAAATGCATAATGCATTTCTCTCAATAATACTAACTATCAGCCTTTAGGGAAGCTACCATATGATTTATTTATAAGTCTTTTACTGAATCAATAGGAGTGAGTGAGTGAATATGGTATTCTAGCAATATTCCAGCAATACCACGACGGGGACACCAGAAATGGGCTTCACACATTGTACCCAGATGGGGAATCGAACCCGGGCCTTCGGCGTGACGAGCGAACGCTTTAACCACAAGGCTACTCAACCGCCCCCGAATCAGTAGGAAGCTAAAGTGAGTGCATATACCCAAATAGATATAAATATAGGCCAAAATATTGTCGAAAATGTGTGAAATTGTGCCTTTAAGGATCGTATTGTGACCCTCTTGTATATCATGACCATGTGAAAGCAGGATGAAGACAGCTGATGTGGTGCTGAAGTTTGAGCTGAATTTGACCTATATTTTATCCTCACGCTTCCCGAAATTGTACCTTGGTACAGGAGTGATGAGAATCTGGCAACACCTGGCAATTCAGTGGACGGATTGCACTATATCTTGTAGCACTGTCTGACATATGTCGAATAATACAGCTGAAATCGAGAGATGCAGTCTCTCGACCTACACAATCAAGACGAAATAGCTTCTCGACACGATGGCCAGGCGACACGTGTAGCCCTTGATAAAATAGTGAGTGAGTTGGTTTTACGCCGCTTTTAGCAATATTCCAACGATATCACGACAGGGGACACAGAAATGGACTTCACATATTGTACCCATGTGGGTTATCGAACCCAGGCATTCGGCGTGACGAGCAAACGCCCCTTAGCCCTTGATAAAATAGTGAGTGAGTGAGTTGGGTTTTACGCCGTTTATATAGCAATATTCTAGCAATACCACGGCGAGGAACACCAGAAATTGGCTTCACTCATTGTACCCATGTGGGGAATCGAACCCAGGCCTTCGATGTGGCGTGGTTGGATACATTCCTTTGCTATGGTTAATGGTAACATATTGGCACAATGACAATTTGAGTGTGTTGCGATACTTTTGTACATGTGTATACAAGACAAATATAAAGCAATTCGTGCTCGATAAGGAACAGGAATAATTGAGACCAGACAAGAGAGTTGCTTCTTTCACACGGGAAGGGAGATAGTTCCATAAAAACTAAAAGCACTGAAAGCAAATGACGAACGATGCACGAGGACGACAACAGCATGCCTCCCGCTCCGTGTGTTCACGTCGGGTCAACGTAAGTCACATGTCAAACATAACGTACACAACCACCGTCACAGCCAGACCACTTAGTGCCTTTCCTACTACTAATTGCGAGTTAATGTGTGATAAACCCGCGTACAATCGATGCTATCTCTAAACGTAGGCTTAAGCTATAGGTTCAATTGTTGTGCTACACTCATAATTAAAACGTTGATAAGCTGGCGCCTGGCGTCTTGTGTTGACGGCAGTCTTAAGTGTGTCTTTTGCTTTTGTGCGCGTTATTCAACCTTCGGGGTGGACTTGTGTTATATACGGGCCGGGACTCTCCAGGATACGTCTTTTGATATATGTTGATAAATTAATTCAATTACTGCAAAGATAAACAAGGGTTGCGGAGAAGTAACTGTATGGTTAGAGTACGCGTTCGTCAAGCCGAATACCGGGTTCGATTCCCTTCATTGGTACAGTGTGAGAAGCCAATTTCAGGTGTCCATCTACGGAATACTTCGGGCTAACATGGTGGTGAGTGTTAAGACTGGGGAAATTATCTGGTGAACTGACCTGAGCGGCAATGGGTGCGTGTGGTGATAGGATAGGTGTGAAATGGTTAGAAAATGATAGGATTGAGATGGGTGGAAACTGATCGTGTGTACTGGACGTAGCGGCAATGGATGGGTGTGATCTGATGATAGGATGGGTGGAAACTGATAGGGGTGAGATGGGTGAAAACTGATAGGGGTGAGATGGGTGGAAACTGATAGGGTGAGATGGGTGGAAACTGATAGGGTGAAATGGGTGGAATCTAAAAGGGGTGAGATGGGTGGAAACTGATAGGGGTGAGATGGGTGGAAACTGATAGGGGTGAGACGGATGGAAGCTGATAGGGTGAGATGGGTGGAAACTGATAGGGTGAGATGGGTGGAAAGTGATAGGAGTGAGATGGGTGGAAACTAATACGAGTGAGATGGGTGGAAACTGATAGGGTGAAATGGGTGGAAACTAAAAGGGGTGAGATGGGCGGAAACTGATCGGGTGTACTGGAGGGAGCGGCAATGGATGGGTGTGATCTGATGATAGGAGTGAGATGGGTGGAAACTGATAGGGGTGAGATGGGTGGAAACGGATAGGAGTGAGATGGGTGGAAACTGACAGGGGTAA